GAGTTCATAACGCAATGTACCGCTATCTGATGGGGAAAACGTAACGCTACTGAAACAAACTCCGAAAGCTGCGTGGAGATAGATGGCGAATGGTTTGCTGCTTGGGATAACAGGTGATTCTCCATAAAAAAAACATCACATTGGCTTTGATGACTCATTAGAAAGATTTTGATGGGATATAACATAGTCAAATCAAGGACACAGACGAATGCAAAAAAAAATTAAAATATTTAAACTATAGATATTGTGGAACTATCACAAACTACATTAAGATAAGCATTACATAACCCAAACTTTTAGGAACTTTATATAGCCAGCCATTACAGTAGCAGACACATGCGGACGACATGGCTCTACTGGACAGAAACATCAATGATATACATAAAGCTATGAAGGAACGATGCCTTATTTCGAGATGGTCTTAGGCTAAATGTAGTGAAGACAAAATATGTGGTTATGTCACGAAGACATAGCATCGAAATAAGCAACGACACCTTTGAGAGGGTGGCTAAGTCTAAAAATCTAAGACTTACGATAAATGAGATGAATGAAAAATGTTGGAGGTGAAAGAAAGCATAACAGCAGGCAACATTTCTTATTTCAGCCTACAAAAGCCACTAGGAAAATACACCCCGAGAGAACATAGAAAGCAATATACACCACTATTATTAAAGAAACGGTAACTTAAGCATGTGAGACTTGGTCTCACACCAGACAAGCAGAGAACCTACTCAGAATATGTGAGTGGAAAATTTTTGGAGAAATATTTAGAGAATGGTGGATTGTAGAGCAGCAAAGAATATCTACAGCCAGAACCTTAGAGACAAATGGCTCATCGGTCGACCAAGACTAGGATGGACTGACGATGTAGAGAAGGACTGATTCGAGCAGGGGGTCATAGGATGGATGCGGAAATACAAAGAACGATCCGAATGGAAGGATGTGGGATGAGTCGGCCCGGGCCTTACATGGGTTTTAGCGCCAATCATGATGATGTCCAAATGGAAGGATGTGGGGTGAGCAGGCCAGGGCCCTAGATGGATTTTAGCGCCGCTGATGATAATGTCCAAATGGAAGGGTGTGGGGGTAAGCAGGCCAGGGCCCTACATGGGTTGTAGTGCCAATGAGGATGATGTCCAAATGGAAGAATAAGGGGTGAGCAGGCCAGGGCCCTGCATGGGTTGTAGCGCCACTGATGATGATGTCCAAATGGAAGGATGTGGGGTGAGCAGGCCATGGCCCTACATGGATTGTAGCGGCACTGATGATGATGTCCAAATGGAAGGATGTGGGGTGAGCAGGCCAGGGCCCTACATGGAATGTAGCGGCACTGATGATGATGTCCAAATGGAAGGATGTGGGGTGAGCAAGCCAGGGCCCTACATGGGTTGTAGCGGAACTGATGATGATGAAAGATGTGCATAAGAAAAATACGTGTCATTAATAAAATAATTGAAAGCTCAATGCATGAATAAATGTTAAAATGAAACAATGAAAAAATCGTATTGATTGCATTTAAAAGGTACTAGCACATACTAGCTGCACGGTACTGGCGAATACTAGCTACATGGTACTAGCACATTCTAGCTACACGGTACTAGGACATTCTAGCTACACAGTACTAGCACATTCTACCTACACGGTACTAGCTCATTCTAGCTACATGGTACTAACACATTCTAGCTATATGGTACTAGCATATTCTAGCTACACATTACAAAGTCATTCAAGATACACTATACTACAACATTCTAGCTACATATTACTAGCTTATTATAGTTTGTTGGTGTTCGCATATTCTACGTATATGGTAATAGCATATTTTAGCTGTATGGTACTAGCACATTCTAGTTACATAATATTAGAACATTTTTGTTACAAGGTACTAGCACATTCTAGCTACATGTTGCTAGAAAATTCTAGTTACACGGTACTAGCATATTCCAGCTACATGGTACTAGCATATTCTAGCTATATGTTATGAGCACATTCTAGCTATATGGTACTTGCAAATTTTTGCTACATGGCATTAGCAAATTCTAGATACATAATAAAAAGCAGCTTATTGATACATGGTACTAGCACATTTAAGCTACATGGTACTAGCACGTTGAAGCTACAAAGTTATAGCACATTCTAGTCACATGGTCCTAGCACTTTCTGGCTACATTGTACTACAAAATTCTAGCTACATGGTGTTTTAACAATCTAGCTACATGGTACTAGCAAATTCTAGCACATTCTAGCTACATGTTGCTAGAACATTTTAGCTACATGGTACTAGCACATTCTCGCTACACATTCAAGCACATTTTTGTTACATATTACTAGCACCTTCTAGCTACATTTGACAATATCATTCTAGTTACATGGTTCTAGCTCATTCTAGCTACATGTTCTTGCAAAATTTAGATATATGCTACTAGCACATTCTAGCTACTTGATACTTGCACAAACTAGCTACACTTTACTAACACATTTTAACTAAACCGTACAAGAACATTTTAGCTACGTGGTACTAGCACGATTTGCTAAAACGTAATAGCACATTTTAGCTACGTGGTACTAGCTTATTCTATTTACATGGTACTAGCACAATTTGCTAAAACGTAATAGCACATTTTAGCTACGTGGTACTAGCTTATTCTATTTACATGGTACTAGCACAATTTGCTAAAACGTAATAGCACATTTTAGCTACGTGGTACTAGCAGATTCTAGATAAAGGGTAATAGCACATTCTAACTACAACGTAATAGCTCATTCTAACTACACGGCACTAACACATTCTCGCTACATGGTACTAGCATATTACAGCTACATTTTAATAGATCATTTTGGCCACACGTTTTAGCAAATTCTAGCTACACGTCCCAGCATTTTCAAGCTTCATGTTACTAGCAAATTCTAGTTACTTTGTACCATCAGATTCTAGCTACATGGTACTAGCTAATTTTAGCTACATACTGCCAGCTAATTATAGCTACATGATACTAACACAATCTAGTTAAATGTTATTAATACATTCTATCTACACGGTACAGAACATACTAGCTATATGGTACACACTTATTCTATTTACATGGTACTATCACAATCTAGCTACATAGTAATAGCACATTCTAGCTACATGGTACTAGCACATTATACCTACATGCTACTAGCATATTCTAGCTACACTGTACTAGCACAGTCAAGCAACATTTTACTGCAGCATTCTAGCTATATGTTACTAGCTTATTATAGCTGCTTCGTGTTCGCACAATCTAGCTACAAGTTAGTAGCATATTCTATCTATATGGTACTAGCACATTCTAGATACATAATAATAGAACAATTTAGTTACATGGTACTAGCACATTCTAGCTACATGTTATTAGAATATTCTAGTTACACGGGATTAGCACCATTTAGCTACAGTACGAGCACATTTTAAAATACATGTTATTAGCACCTTAAAGGTAGGCTACTTTGTTAGAATATATTCTAAATACTTTTTTCATGGCATAGTGTAGTTTTTTTGTTGTTTTTTTCACAGAACAATCTGGTTATTTAGCCATATCACATTGCATGGATAGGAAGAAAACCACAGGTAATTAAGTTCACTAGCAAATCCAATAGTGGCAAAAACTAAAACACCCGTTCTTAAACTTGGTAACCCAGTAATGAACGGAACCCTGACCGACCAAGTCTTACTTTAATAGGTTAGGCAAAAAAAAAAAGGGGACCCGAAATGTCAGCATTGCACAATGTCATGTTCAGAATAGTGTGTACGTTTGTTTGTATTACATTTTACACTAATTTTTAGGCTTTTATTAATGCGGACAGCACCTGTGCGCTTGGTTGGGCGGACAGCACCGGTGCGCTGGGTTGGGCGGACAGCACCAGTGTCCTGGGTTGGGCGGACAGCACCGGTGCGCTGGGTTCGGTGGACAGCACCGGTGTGCTGGGTTGGGCGGACAGCACCGGTGCGCTGGGTTCGGTGGACAGCACCGGTGTGCTGGGTTGGGCGGACAGCACCGGTGCGCTGGGTTGGGCGGACAGCACCCGTGCGCTGGGTTGGGCTAGAGTCAATTCCTTTTTTCATGAGAGGAGATAATTGAAAAAATGGAAAGGAATAGTTTGTAGTTTTTATTACTTTCCTGTTGGGGCGTACAGTAGAGTTTTTTTTTATTACTGTCATATTCGTGAATTGTTCGAGATGACTGAATACTTAATAGTATTACGTTCAACCATAGACTTTCTCACCCCGCCGTTATCACTACAAGATTTTCGTAAAAATATCACAAGTGTGTTTGGTGCGTAATAGTTTTTGGTTTTTTTTGGTTTTCTGAAATAGTTGGCGAAATCAATCTGCGTTGCAAAGGCGGGTGGGACATCAGAACATAAATATAAAATAAAATGATTAAAATATGAATATAAAGGATTTATAAACAACAACTTTATTTAAGGAATATTTAATTTTAAAGATATGTTCAATCGGCAAACGTGTCTCACTAATGCTTCATGGTCGCTGGTCTGTATGTGCACTACTAGCTTCTAATAGCTTTGAAACTACTCCGTACCTATTTTGTCGTCTTGGTTTTTAAATTATTTTTTAAAGAAAAAACTTTACAGTGGTTCTATTAACATAACACAAAGGTTATATTCTACGTCATAAGTATTGACTACGTGTTATGAAAGGATTGCCCTAGTTATTTATATATTAAGCAAAACGGATTGTGTTATATAGCTAGACGCAATCCATCAATTGACCACAGAGATGTCTTAAGGAGCATTACAACAAAACTGATCTACGATAGCAGGCATTAAATCAGAACAACATTATGGAGAACGACACACACATGATCAAAATACATTGGTTGAGAATTTATGAAAGAGCGAGATACGACTGCATGTGTCAATCATAAATTTAAGCCCTTCTTAATACACATAATTGGCTGGACGAAAAGCTAAATCGATAATCAATTTAGCCGACTATAAAGACCAGAAAGACACCACTCAGTTGTGGAAGCTGTTGTTCAACAGTTTGTCAGTTCAGCGATAACCTTCACCGAGTCATGAAGTCACCGAGTCTTTTGGTGGCTCTAGCTGTTGCCAGTTTCATGACTTCTCATTGCTTGTATGCTGAAGAGGGTGACGATGTTCAACAACCCAAGCCTTCGGGCCCAGATCTCAAAAAGTTAGCCAAGGCCATAACATTTTTCTCTATGGACATGCACACAGTTCTGAGTGAGACCAAAGAGAGCTTTTTGTTCTCGCCAATCGGCATTCACCTGGCTTTGGTAATGGCACTTGTTGGAGCGAAAGGCCCAACTGCTAATGAAATGAAGATAGCTTTAGAGGTGAGTTTTTATTGTTATAGTTTGGGTGGCCAATTTGTATTGTTATAGTTTGGGTGGCCAGTTTCTATTGTTATAGTTTGAGTGGCCAATTTGTATTGTTATAGTTTGGGTGGCCAATTTCTATTGTTATAGTTTTGGTGGCCAGTTTCTATTGTTATAGTTTGAGTGGCCAATATGTATTGTTATAGTTTGGGTGGCCAGTTTCTATTGTTATAGTTTGGGTGGCCATTTTCTATTGTTATAGTTTGAGTGGCCAATTTGTATTGCTTTAGTTTGGGTGGCCAGTTTCTATTGTTATAGTTTGGGTGGCCAGTTTCTATTGTTACAGTTTGAGTGGCCATTTTGTATTGTTATAGTTTGGTTGGCCAGTTTTTTTGTTAAGGTTTGGGTGGCCGCGTTGTCTATACCGAGTCTATCCAAAAAGCAGTCTGTCAGGAGCGATAAGACTAGACAAACAAAACATCACGAGCTCCCGGATTGGACGGGAATCGTTAAATTTGGATCGCAACTCATCTGAGACAAGGCAAGCTCTAAATACAAACCTGGAGATGGAGTCCCGTAGGCGGATAACATTGACACAATGAATTTTCTGGCAAATCCTGTTACGCCAATGATTAATAGATGTTTCATCCAAAAAAATGAATGTTCCCTTGGGTTGATATTGTGGAGAGTTCGGACCTCGACGGCGCCTGACGTAATCCGTCTGACCACCCAAGCTTGTGGAGAGTCGGACCACGCACGAGCGCCGGACCACGACGGCGCCTGACGTAATCCGTCTGACCGAAGGATCAAGCTTGTGGAGCACGACGGACCCAAGGATCAAACGCCTGACCACTTACGGCCGTCTGACACCCAGACACGACCATCCATCTGACCAGGGCATTTACCTGGGACGTCTAGACCGACAATTGAGAAAAAGGGGGCGGGGTATAATCTGGACTGGGAGAGGAACTATGGGACAAGGAGGTATAAATAGGGAAGAAGGCGGACGGACTAGGAACGGGAGAGCAGGGAGAAGTCAGAGTTGGGAGATGAGTGAAAGTGTAAGCAAGTGACAGATCAAATAAAGAACACGAGTTTAATGATCAATTGTATCACCGGAGTTGTTTACTTATTGAGTACCAGATCTGGATGAAGTTTGTCAGATAGTAAGCAAGTTCCCTTACAATGGTGGCAGCGGTGGAATTCTTAACCTTGCAACGACTCCGAAGAGACGTACATTTTCGTTAGCCTGACTAGATGAAAAGTACAAGGCGCGGAAGATTGACAGCAAGCACAATGTCTTCACAGCACTTACACAACATCCCAACGTACAGTGGAACGTCTACATGGCACACTTTTATCGTGCAGTTTGAGACCTTGGCAAGAATTTTCAAGTGGAGTGATGACGATAAACTCCTCTATCTCTGCTTTTCATTGAAGGATGCAGCTGCGGAATTTGCGTACAGCGAATTAAGCGAAGCTGAGAGGGACAGCTACGAGAAACTCAAGGATGCTCTGGCTAATCGGTTTAAGGACCATCGAACACCTGCATTCTTTCAAAATGTTTTAGACAAACGCAGGTTCTTGAAATCAGAGACCACAGCTGAGTACGCTACAGACCTCAAGAGATTGGTTACAAAAAGCTTCTCAATGGCAGACCAGGCTACAAGAGATGCCATTGGGTTTAAACAGTTCTTACGTGGGCTGCCTGACCAGTCTATGGTGATACAAGTAGGCACTATGGCTGTTCCTCCCACCGTGGACAAGGTGAGAGCTGCCTTGGATACAATCTTAAATCTGAGGGACAACGTTTGTTTACCAACACAGCAAGTAGCATCAATGGCTACCGACAACTTGGCCACAGAGGTTAGCGGCCTGAGAGAGGACCTTAGGGAATTCATGGCCTCACAGCGAGGGGCAGTTACTCATTCGGCACGTGAAAGGGGAGATAATTGGAGGGCGGAACCCAGTTGTTTTGGCTGTGACCAAATCGGTCATATTTCACGGAATTGCCCAAAACAAGAGACCATAAGGACGAAATCTTCGTCGTTAAAACTAAATCACATCTCATCGAAGTCAAATGTTCACAACCTTCGTCCTAATTTTGTGTTTGTGCCTGTGAAAGTGTGCGGCGTTAGGACAGATTTCCTCATGGACACTGGAGCGGCCGTGACAATTTTGTCCAAGAGATCTTTTAATAGAATGCAGCAGAGACCGAAGTTGAATACCCACCTCGTCCCATTACATCTACAGTCAGCCAGTGGTACGTCTATAAAACTCCATGGAGTCTGCGACCTAGACTTGCTTATTGGAGAGAAGATTTATCCATGGGCGGTGCATATCGCAGACATAACCGACGATGGTTATCTAGGATTCGATTTCCTATGTCACTATGACTTTTCCTTTTCAATCAAAAGGGGTCTCAACCTACATAGAGACAAGGTGCCAGTAATAACAAAATGTGTAAATTCAGTGACTCAACAGGACCAGTCTTATTCGTTGGTAGGAAACGGTGATCTCAATGAGGAAGAGGACATCATTCCATTATCCACCACTAGTAACCAGATGCCAGCAGCAGCTGTTGTGAAAATCAACATGGTGACGACTCGCAGTAAAACGCATCCTCCCGTGAACCCACTTAAACCCTCGCCCGGAGGAGCAACCACAAGTGATACTGGTCGAGCAAACTGCCCTGTAAACACGCCCCTCGTACCAAGCCAACCTATCCAATTACCTTGCCCTGAGTCGACATCAAACAGAAATGATCGGAATGCTGACCGAGAGCCGGTTGCAGTGTTTTGTGCAGACAATAGTGACCATAAATTCTTTGAAGGGTTAGACATATCCAAGGAAGATCTGAGAAAATTACAACAGGAAGATAATGACTTGAGTCATGTTTTTAAGTGGATCAAAGACAAAACAAAACCAAAAAGAGAGGAAATTAGTGGAGAATCGCCGGCTGTTAGGAACCTTTGGTTAAACCTTGATTTACTTATTGTTGTGGATGGAGTTTTATGTAAACGATGGTTTCATCCGGGTCGGAAGGATGAAATATTGAAAATTATGTTGCCTAGATCTCTTGTAAGCACAGTGTTAAAGAAAATGCACTCGTCAGTTTATGCTGGCCATCTCGGCATAAATAAGGTATTGGATAATGTCAGGACATACTACAGTTGGTACAGAATGAAAAGGGATGTGCAAACGTTCATCACCAACTGTGCCACATGTCAGCACATCAAACGCCCCCAAGCCAACAGTTCAGCCAGGTTACAGTCCTTTCTTACAGGATCACCACTACAAAGAGTGTGCACTGATTTTATTGGTCCGTTACCCGTCACTGATACTGGCAATAGATACATTCTTGTAGTAGTGGACGCGTTCACTAAATATACCCAGGCATATGCACTCCCTGACTGTTCAGCCGAAACAACGGCCGCTACTTTAGTAAACCAATTCTTCTCGATTTTTGGTTGCCCGTTAGAATTGCATTCGGATCAAGGATCCAATTATCAAAGTAAATTGTTTAAACGAGTAATGGAATTACTAGACATTAAGCAAACCAGGACATCATCTTTCCATCCAGCCAGTAACGGACAGGTCGAACGATTTAACTCAGTGCTAATTAAGATGATATCTGCATACGTTGCGGAGAATCAAAAGAACTGGGACGTCCACCTCCCACTGTTGACCAGTGCGTACAGAAACCATCAACATCCCAGTACTGGCTACAGCCCCAATTATTTAATGTTTGGGCGAGAGCTCTATCAGCCCATTCACCTGTCGATGGGGGCTCCATTACCTGATAAATATCTCGGTCAACCCGTACCCGAGTACGTGCTGAAACTTGAACAAAAGTTGGACGACATTTATGCCACTGCCAGGAAACATCTTAAGACAGCAGCTCAGCGTCAGAAAAGGGACCACGATACTCGGGCAGTACAACATAGCTTCAACGTGGGGGACGTGGTTCTCTATTTGGACTTAACCAAACAGGTGGGTCGAAATCCAAAATTGAACCCAAATAAATGGCGCGGACCATTCGTTGTCAGTCGAAAATTTAGTGATGTGTTATTTGAAATTCGAGGAGAGGGAAAGACGAGGGCAAGAATAATTCATCACGACCGATTGAAACCCTATTATGACAATAATCCACCCGACTGGATTTTAAAGTTACAAACAATTTGCCTGAGAGACAACTTGATGGGAGCTACTCCGGAGCTTCCACGCGTTCTGCAAGAAGCTTAGAGTGAAGACATTTTGGACACCTAGATTGTAGGGAATGACATGCAAATATTTTTTTTTGGGAAGATGTAAAGCTAACTAATGTTGTGTTAATTTATCTCGAGACATATGAACTCCAGAGTTGAATCGGTAACATAATGTGTATAACATGTAATAATTATGACATGATTATTGTTATTTCGAGTTGAAGTTTTTTTTTCTTGTGTATAACTTTAAGTACTTTTGAATGTATACCGACCACAATAACTGCTTTTGCTTTGAATTTTGTTTAATATAGTTTTTAAAATTATATCTTAATGCTGTACTATTAATTAAGTTTCAAGATGATGTATTATGCTTGATCTAGTTGTTGTACAATCATAATTGTTGATTGGGGTGAATGTATTAGGCGCTCAAACTGACTCTGACCTTAACCACAACTGTTTAGGAGACCACGTTTGAGGTGTCCGTTGAATTCAATAGTCGTAGTCAAAGGTAGAGCGACGGGTAGGATTGTTTTACACAAGGAGACGTATTAGAACCAAAGCGAATGACGTCACGAGTATTACTGTGAGCTGTTTGTAAATGAATGCTGAAGGTCCAAGTCACTTGAAGCCATTTAGAAACCAATCATAAGAAATTTTAACGAGAATGTTGTGTAATGTCGGGACGACATGGTTTTGTAAGATGGGGGTAGTGTGGAGAGTTCGGACCTCGACGGCGCCTGACGTAATCCGTCTGACCACCCAAGCTTGTGGAGAGTCGCCACCCAAGCTTGTGGAGAGTCGGACCACGCACGAGCGCCGGACCACGACGGCGCCTGACGTAATCCGTCTGACCGAAGGATCAAGCTTGTGGAGCACGACGGACCCAAGGATCAAACGCCTGACCACTTACGGCCGTCTGACACCCAGACACGACCATCCATCTGACCAGGGCATTTACCTGGGACGTCTAGACCGACAATTGAGAAAAAGGGGGCGGGGTATAATCTGGACTGGGAGAGGAACTATGGGACAAGGAGGTATAAATAGGGAAGAAGGCGGACGGACTAGGAACGGGAGAGCAGGGAGAAGTCAGAGTTGAGAGATGAGTGAAAGTGTAAGCAAGTGACAAATCAAATAAAGAACACGAGGTTAATGATCAATTGTATCACCGGAGTTGTTTACTTATTGAGTACCAGATCTGGATGAAGTTTGTCAGATAGTAAGCAAGGTCCCTTACAATATTCATGTACGTGGAGGGAGGCGGTTTGCTGTCTTGGGAACACGCTAACCTCTTCAAGAAAAGTCCATGACCTTGTGATTTCGTCCGTCCATCGAAGCATAACAACCTTTTAAATTTATTTTTTGGTTTGGGTGATGATTCCTCTCTTGGTCCATACATTCTTAATCGTTTCCGTAAAAAAATGTAGCCCGGAGCTTTTAATTAATAGTAAATGAGCGCTGACGAAACAAAAAAAAAATAACTATATTCATATACAAAACAAGGGAATGAAAATCGTGGACCTTTTACCACATACGCAAATACGTCACGAAAACAATGTATATAACAAAAGCTACACAATTAATCTCCACACCAAAACATTTAAGGGTTGAAAACAAATCATATTTCATTCATCCTCCCCTTGGAAAACAGTACAGATTGATATTTTTGGAGTTTCTTCGGCTCAACGTTAAACTGAATGCGGTGTCATCGGCAACGAATCTATGCGACGGACGACGGGAAGTCGGTCAACTATGCGTTCGAAGATTTTGCCTTAAACGCTAAAACATGCGAACAAAAGCGACTTTAATATAAAGCATTTTAAAAGTAGGTTTTACTTAAATCTGAATAATTTATTTCCCTTCAATTCACGTTATCGTTACCCCCCCCCAAAAAAGCAAACAAACATATTTACGTTGCCTAGGTGACGGCGGCCACATATCCTCCGAAAGCTTAATAAGCTCAATGTGTTTTTTCTTCTCTGAAATAATGAACAAAATATTTCTAAGAGGTCGTGGCCCGAAATGAGGGGAATAGCTCTTACTTTGATGAAAACAACCACCAGAGACTTTCCGTAGGTAAAAATAAATATTTGCGCATAAATTGATATCAAGATTCTATTATAAAGTGACTATCTTCCCCCGGGACAAACTCATTTTATATGACAAAATCTCACTCTCAGTATTATTAAATTAAGAGTTGGCTTATTGATTTATTGATTTAGGTTTTAATTTCCTTTCATCTGTAATGGGTAATCCATCCCTTTGGCGCTACAGCCAACGTAGTGCTTTGGCCTGCCTCACTACTTCCTTCCACTCAGACGTAACTAAAGCCTTTCTTTTCCATGCTTGGACTTTCAGCTGCTGTAGATCTTTTTCTACATCATCTATCCACCTAAGCCTAGGTCTGCTTTGAGCCTTTTTCCTCTGGGGTATTGGTGATGTACCCTCTTCGTTCCTCTGTCATTTGGCATTCTCTCTAGGTGTCCTCCCCAGCGTAGCCTGCCTCTTTTTATTTCTGCTACTATCGTAGTATCCTGATATAGACTGTATAATTCCTGGTTGGTTCGTATTCTCCATCCATATTCATCCTTTGATGGCCCATATATTTTCCTGAGAACTTTCCGCTCCCATGCGTTTAATAGGTTTTCTGCTGTTTTTGTTAGGGTCCAAGTTTCACTTGCATATGTTACAACTGGTCTGATTACAGTTTTATAAATAGTTTTCTTTGTTTCTCTTGTAATGTTTTTACTTTTGAGTATTTTCTGACAACTGAAGTATGCCCTGTTTCCGACTGATATTCTTTCTTTTATTTCTGTTAGTAAATCGTTTCTTTCATTTAACAAGGATCCTAGGTATTTGAATTGATTTACTTTTTCAAAAGTTTGGTTTCTAATTTTAATTGTTTCATCTGTTTGTTTATAATGGGTAAAGTTGGACACATTTTCTTTAAGGTCACTTTTACAAAATTGTTTACTAAAAAATGTCTCATTTTCATTTTAAAGTATTTTGATCAAAGCTTTCTATGGCTTAGAAAATGCACAAGAAAAACGCATTTACTTTCGATTCCGGTATTCGCCGAAGCAGAGCATTCCCCCGGGACATCTACATTGGCAAAGTTCTGGGACATAGTGGAACACAATATGTTCAGGTTTGAAATAAAAAGACAGCTTAAGTGCCAGACGCGCATAAAGAGATCATGATAAAGAGAAATACCTGGATAAGAAAGAACTCCGTGAAACGAGAAACAGGTAACAAAGCATTCTGGATCATTCTCGAGGACTTTTTTGTTGTTTGTTTGTTTTGTATTACAGGTTAAGAACATCAAAAACCTTGAGGAGCAGTACAAAGGATGGCTTGATACGACAACGGACAACTGCCATCTCGGCAAGGACTGCGAGATGCAACTCAACAAAACTTTTATGTTCTATCCGGGAGTGAAAGTGGAGAACAAATTTGCGGTGGGTTCACCACTAAATTATTATATTTATTTTTTATGTTTTTTTTAAGTCAAGAATTCAAGTCAAATCTGCTTTAAAACGATAGTAATGGTAGGGATATGTATTTATAGATATGTATTTATAGATATGTATTTATAGATATGTATTTACAGATATGTATTTATAGATATGTATTTAAAGATATGTATTTATAGATGTGTATTTATAGATATGTATTTATAGATATGTATTTATAGATATGTATTTATAGATATGTATTTATAGATATGTATTTATAGATATGTATTTATAGATATGTATTTATAGATATGTATTTATAGATATGTATTTATAGATATGTATTTATAGATATGTATTTATAGATATGTATTTATAGATATGTATTTATAGATATGTATTTATAGATATGTATTTATAGATATGTATTTATTTATTGTTTTTTTATTTGCATGGGCAAAACTTAGAGATTGCTTTAAACGAGAACTGGTCAAATCAAGAACTTGCCTTTCAATAAATTTGTAAAATTTAAATTTTATCATAATAAGAACTGTCCCAAATACAATATTGGTCGAAGGGAGTACTGATCTACCAGAGGAATTGTCCAAAAGGAGATGTTATCACGTGATGATCTGCTCAAGCTAAAAAATAAGATCTTATCACGCCATGATCTGCTGGAAGCCAAAATATAAGCAACGTCAAAAATTATTACATAACAAGAAAAGAAGTCTCTGATAAAAGGCAACTCACGAATGAAATCTGTAAATTGAACTGGTCCAAACCTAGAATAAATCCATTTAACTTTTAGTCAAAGAATTTTTTGAATGCAGTTTTTTCAAACGGCGGACGGTGAGCTGCAGCCAAAGTTCCTGACGGGGCACCGTACAATTCTAAAAATAACGGCGGAAATCACCTAAGAACCAATAAGACAGAACGGACATTTTGCGGTAACCGTCCGTTCTGTTTTTAAAAACCCACTTAATTGCCGTTTCCTTTGCTGTCCTAATGATCGCTTAGCGTTTAAATTAAATGCAGTTGTTTTTGTGCGATCATGGACTAAATGTTTTAAGAAGGGCCATTTCGCAGTATCTAGTCGTTCTTTTTAAATGCACTTACTTCCTGTTTGTGTTGCTGTAATAATGATCGCATAGCTTATGAATTTAATGCAGTTTCTTTTTTTTTTTTGCCTGACCATAGACTAATTTTTTTAAGATGAGAAACTTGAGAGCATGGCACAGCTGACGTCCGAGCTAAAACTCAGGATGATTATGATTAATTACTTTTATAGCACTTTTTTTTCAATGCTATTTTAGCATGCTCTCAGCGTCCTGATGTACTAAAATCTTTTTAAAGAAAAATGACTTTTTATCTTTATCAATATCCCTCAAAGAATAGGCAAACTTTTGAAAAAGGTTCAGAAGAGCTCACTCCTCGTGACTTCTTTCTGTGCCCATTCACACTGGGAAATCTCAGTAAAATTTGTTGAATGACGCTGGTTATGTATGGATACACGTTAAGAAATTAGTTTTTGAAAGTACACATTTGCAGAGCCTTCTATAAATTATACGCCAATGACAGATTTTTTTAGCCAATGCGCTCACTCACAGGAAGTCAATGGAGATCTTTAAGGCTTGGGTGATATGGTCAGATTTCTGTATACGCAGACAATGCGTGCTGTAGTATTTAGTGCCTTGTGGAGACTCTGAATTTGGTTTTGAGGTAAACCCCACAGACAACTTTTACAGTAATCTAATCTTATTGGATTAGAGTGACTGCTACGGCAATGGCCATCCTCTTATTAAGATGAGGATACAGCTGACCCAGAGCGCGGAGATGACAAAAAACACGCTCTGAATACAGAACTGCTATGAGGGATAATCGTAAGTTTGCTGTGAGTGTAGAAGCCATGTCTCTAAACGTGTTGAACATGAGGATCTCTAAATGTTATTCCAATGTGCCAAACATTGAATTCGTCGGAATCTTAAATAGTCTTAAGTAATGACAATTACTTAGCTATGGCAGTGAGAATTACTCATCTGTGACGGTGATACTTACTTTATCTATGAAAGTGACAGTTGACTTAGCTACGACAGTGACTATTGCTTAGCTACGACGGTGACTATTACTAGCTATGGGATTCACTTGGTAAGAAGGCCCATTTGGAACAATAGAACGAACCATTTGTTTCCCAAACAAAAAAAAAAAAACCCTAAAGGAATTACTTCAAAAAAAGGAAAAAAAAAAAAAAAAAAGAAGTTTAGAAAACAGGTGTCTATGATTTCATTCTCACAGATGTTTAATCGTGATCCACTTTTTTTTTTGGTTCCATAATAATATACAAACAAAACTTTAAAAATATTAATCAAAGAATTTCTTGAACAGACAACTATAAATTCGGTCTACACTCCTTCGGTGGTAGCTCTGGAAACTAAAACCGGATGGACCAGTATTTCCTTCTTTACAAGTCTAACCAAAGAAGCCCATAAGCAAACTCTTAGCATGATCTTTAACGTTCTCAACCTAAGACTCCGATGGAGACGGAAATTCATTTACAACTCAGGCAATTATATGGACTTTACCACGTCGACTTTCCAGAAAGTCAAGACAACGTCTATGAGAGTGAGGGGCAGTTTCAGATATGCATTTTCTCATGCGTTAAATGGTCACGTGCTGAAGATTCCCTTTGAGAACGACCGCTTCGGCTTCTACATCATACAACCCACCACTGCCGACGGCTTGGCTAAACTGGAGGGTAAGCTCGCTAGACGTAGCTTACATCTGGATCAAGTGTTAGATTCGGTCAAGGTGCGGGACGTTCTAGTCGAGCTGCCGTTGTTAAGATTCGCAGACGTGATAGAACTGGAAGCGCCACTGCGAAAACTGGGAATAAACGCCGCCTTTGCCTATGATGCCGACTTCACAAAGGCCACGCCCCTGAGATGTAACATCGGCCAGGCTAGACAGGTCCCTCTGATGAATCTCGGTTTATCCTATTTGACAATAGGAACTCATAGATTTCTTAATCAACCTGAAGAGGCGGACGGGTCCACTTCAATCCCGAAGACCACACTCTCAGAAAATGTCAAAAATAATAATAAAGATGATGTCAAAGATGATGTCAAAGATGATGTCAAAGATGATGTCAAAGATGATGTCAAAGATGATGTCAAAGATGATGTCAAAGATGATGTCAAAGATAATGTCGAAGATGGGACAAGCCAGAAGGAGAGACGCTCAGCAAATGTCGCAGATGATGTCGTCCTGAAGACCAGGCGCTCGGAAAATGTCGTCGGCAATGCGACCCTGAATAGGACACGCCTGCCATACGTCCAAAACGGCAGACAAATAGTCTCGGTCAAGGCAAACCATCCGTTCTTGTTCTTCGTCAGAGATGATCTCCATGGTGTCCTCATCATACAAGGCCGGATGGTGGGAGCTTGACGAACCCTGACGAAACCTTAACGGCTATCGAACACTTACGATACCTGGTCACGATACCTGGTCACGATACCTGGTCAAATGTGAAGCCCTTCATATGAAGGCTAACGATACGTTATAAACGTCCATAGAACCTCATTCAAGAAACGATACTTTATCGAATATTACAGCAACAAATTCTACCCACTTACTGCTTTTTTTTTTAAAATGCTAATGCAAGAAATAAATACTATTCAAAATAATAAAGCGCTTTATTGACGTGCAACAAAAGTAAAATAAATTATACATTAATTCAAGAAAATAAACATTTAGAATGTTAAAAAAATACTTTTATTTATTTCTTTTGTTCTTTTTTTTTAATATTCTTTAATTCAACTATTTTGATCAATAGTTGTTGTTTTTTATATTCTTTAATTCAACTATTTTGATCAAAAGTTGTTTTTTTATATTCTTTAATTCAACTTTTTTGATCAATAGTTGTTTTTTTTATATTCTTTAATTCAACTATATTGATCAATAGTTGTTTTTTTTTATATTCTTTAATTCAACTATTTTGATCAATAGTTGTTTTTTTATATTCTTTAATTCAACTATTTTGATCAATAGTTGTTTTTTTTTATATTCTTTAATTCAACTATTTTGATCAATAGTTGTTTTTTTTTAAAACAACTAATATTTATTTTTTTTAAAAATATTTATGATATCGTAAATATTTTTCATATAATTGTTAATATTCCCAAACGGTCCCCCGATATTCCCAATATACATGAAAATGTTCCCTTCAAATAAGAAAATATTCCCCAGATATTTGCAAAGAGAATAAAGAAATATTTATGCATATATCAAGCTTAAAAATACAATGACCGGTTATGGGTAAACTTTCGACACTTCATGAAACTATTACCACAGCAGAAAACAGGTCCACCATTAAAAAAACTATTCCATCTATTGAAAACTATCCCACCATCAGAAAACTATCCCACCATCAGAAAAGTATCCCACCATCAGAAAAGTATCCCACCATCAGAAAACTATCCCACCATCAGAAAAGTATCCCACCATCAGAAAACTATCCCACCATTAAAAAACTTTCCCACCATCAGAAAACTATCCCACCATCAGAAAACTATCCCACCATTAGAAAACTATCCCACCATTAGAAAACTATCCCACCATTAGAAAACTATCCCACCATCAGAAAACTATCAGAAAACTATCCGACCATAAGAAAACTATCCCACCATCAGAAAACTATCCCATCATAAGAAAACTATTCCACCCTTAGAAAACTATCCCACCTTTAGAGAACTGTTACCACACTAGTCATCCTTAAAAACACATTTACTAAAGGTCACCCATAATAACACATTTTCTAAAGTTCACCCATAATAACACATTTCCTGAAGGTCACCAATAATAATACATTTCCTAAAGTTCACCCATAATCTCACATTTCCTAAAGATAAACCATAATAACACATTTCCTAAAGGTCACCCATAATAACACATTTTCTAAAGGTCATCCGTGACAGCAAACTTTTTAAAGGTAACCTATGACAACACGTGGTTAAAAGGCAACCTATGGCAAGGTGTAGGGATATATGAGGGTACTTTCACCAATTAGATATATATATATTATTTTTTTTTCGTGAGAAAAAGAGCATCATGAGTTGGTGAATGTTATTCCCTCTTTCATATCATCTGTGGTTGTCATTGTTTCTCTAAGTAAATATGGATCAGATGACGCCCCCGTGAATTGAGAGGAAATAAATTATTCAGAGTAAAGGTAAAAAAAATATTTTCAAATCTTTATTATTGAGTCTGTTTTCATTATTCCTCAGTAACTTTCTGGAATCCAGTTTAGAAAAAAACAAACATGATTTTTTGAACAATTCAATTTGGTAAAATTGTTAAGCAAGCTACTCTGTTTTACAAAACTTTGAACGTACCACATAGTGTTTTTAGTTACTAGTGTTTTTTAAAATTATTTGCAAAATGTCGTACCTTTTAATAGTGTTGCACACACTCGAGAAGCCGAAGGTGGTGTTTATATTGAAAGCGAAAACATGGTATGATTTGCAACATAGTGACAGAGGTGCGCTTAAAAAATTGTATGTTATGAAACACAATGAGAGAGGTTCATTTAAAATATGGGATGTAATGAAATACAATGAAAAATGTGTGTTTAAAATATGGTATGTTATGAAACACAATGACAGATGTGTGTTTAAAATATGGTATGTTATGAAACACAATAATAGAGCTGTGTTTGAAATATGGTATGTTATGAAACACAATGAAAGAGGTGTGTTTAAAATATGGTATGTTATGAAACACAATGAGAGAGGTTCGTTTAAAATATGGTATGTTATGAAACACAATGACAGATGTGTTAAAATATGGTATGTTATGAAAAACAATGACAGATGTGTATTTAAAATATAGTATGTTATGAAACACAAAGACAGATGTGTGTTTAAAATATGTTATGTTATGAAAAACAATGACAGATGTGTGTTAAAATATGGTATGTTATGAAACAGAATGATAGAGCTGTGTTTAAAATATGGTATGTTATGAAACACAATGAAAGAGGTGTGTTTAAAATATGGTATGTTATGAAAAACAATGACATATGTGTATTTAAAATATAGTATGTTATGAAACACAAAGACAGATGTGTGTTTAAAATATGGTATGTTATGAAAAACAATGACAGATGTGTGTTAAATATGGTATGTTATGAAACACAATGACAGAGGTGTGTTTGATATATATGGTATGTTATGCAAAACAATGACAGAGGTGTGTTTAAAATATGGTATGTTATGAAACAGCATGGCAGCTGTGTGTTTAAAATATGGTATGTAATGAAACACAATGACAGAGGTGTGTTTAAAATATGGTATGTTATGAAACACAATGAGAGAGGTTCGTTTAAAATATGGTATGTTATGAAACACAATGACAGATGTGTGTTAAAATATGGTATGTTATGAAACACAATGACAGAGGTGTGTTAAAATATGGTATTTTATGAAACACAATGATAGAGCTGTGTTTAAAATATGTTATGTTATGAAACACAATGAAAGAGGTGTGTTTAAAATATTGTATGTTATGAAACACAATGACGGAGGTGTTTTTAATTTATGGTATGCTATGAAACACAATGACAGATGTGTGTTTAAAATATGGTATGTCATGAAACACAATGTAAGAGGTGTGTTTAGAATATGGTATGTCATGAAACACAATGTAAGAGGTGTGTTTAGAATATGGTATGTTATGAAACATGATGCCAGTGGTGCGCTTAAAATATGTTATGTTATGAAACATAATGAAAGAGGTGACAAAGAGTAACACGACATAACACAAGAGACGTTACTAAGACTCACACAAAGGATAAAACGTTTGATTCAACCATTGAAAGAACCGTGCATGACCGGAGTAAACCAATATACATTTCACGCATCTTGGCTGGGAGCCGACTTATGCAGATCATTGTCAAAATCAAATGAGTAGATTCTAAATTGTATTTATTTTCCTAGCGAGAACCCGGCAAGGGTTGAAATGCCGCTCGAGAGAAAAGTGTTTGTGTTTTTTTTTACGTTTTTGAAGTAATTTTTAAATGGAAAACATTTTTAGCTTTTGGTTCGGTCTGGTGCGTACATCCTATTTCTTACCCCGATATATATGTACCTAAGAAAGTTAATTATTTTTCAAATTCTTTTTTAGGCATATCTTGTGCTGCATCGGGCTAATGAAACTATCGTATTACCTCACCCCCCCATTCCCCCAACCACCCCAACCAAACAGAGTTTAAAAAAAAAAAGGAATTATCCATGAAACTGTAACCACCTTACTTTAGCAAAACCATTTTTTTTCCATTTCACATGCATCGTTCTTATTAGGATGAGTGATAAGTGCATTAGTGAATGCTATTACAATATGTTGTTTCGCTGCACTGATTGCATTAATCGGAATTTTAGTATTGAAAGTACATGTAAAGGTTAAGTTTTTACTACTTTATAATTTTTAAAAAATATTTTTTTTTTAAAAGCACACAAAGTAGAAACTTATTGAATGTTAAAAATACAAAGCAAAAGTTGTATATATTGTTAAAAAAGTTTAGAAATGTAAAAGCTATCTATTATTAATATTATTTTCACCTTAAAGAAGGGTAAAATACATCATCTGTTTTGCCACGCATGGTTAAAAAATCAAAGAAACTTAGAGCTGTGGCTAAAATAAGATCGCGCTATGACGTCATTTGATTAATTATTTAGATCCCACTCATGTTATTATCATTTCGCAAAATTAACAACGCACTAAAATATGCGCTAAGAATAACCGATGTTTGGGATCCCCCTATAAATTGCATTAAGATGTAATTCTTAGATCATAATATGTTGATTAATATTTTTGTCATAACTTTTACATTCGGATAAAATGCTTAAATAGGTTGAACTTTTTAGGTATTGTTATTTTTTTAATTATAATACTTAAACTTTTACTGAAATAAAAGCATATTAAAAATAGTCTT